TGCGTGCGATATAGTAGAATAGATTTAATAGCCGTGGCAACAAAGGGACTTGGAACATAAACTGGAGATCAGAAATCTACTCAATGGGGGGGGGGGGGGTTACTACAATGCTTTCTTATCTGACTATCTATATATCTCTCTTCCAAATATAGTATGGATCTTTTCTCCAGAAATGTAGTTTTTTGCTCATTTACTCTATGCAATTCTTGTCCATATAATTCTGTATATTTTATATAACCTAGATATTAAGAAATAAGCTATAAAATTACTTAATTATTGAGCATTTCCAATAATAGATTTGTTTTCTGAAAGTAATGTTATCCACCTGTAAAAATCCTTGACAATGTAATTAATGATGTACTCAATATTGTGCCAAGTACCATTAATATGATTTTCATTTTATTTATAGTTTGTGTCTTTCATAGATAGATAGATAGATAGATAGATAGATAGATAGATAGATAGATAGATAACGAAACTATAAATAAAAGGAAAATCACTTTAATATATATAGTTCACTTGTATGTTGAAAATGTCCAAAGCTAGTCATATATGCAATGAACCATAATTAAACAAGCAGCAAGTTAGTAAAACAGTCCAATTAGAAAGCTAACCAAACAATAAAACAGTATATTATATAACAGTAACTGATGAAATAAAATGTACTATGTGACTTCAGGTCATACAGAAAAAACAACAGGAAACTAAGAATCTAGCATCATTATCTACCCAGAATAAGAAACGTATATCAGAACTAGAACAGAATATTAATCACATGAAAAATCAACAAGCCCAATTACAGAAAAAATTGCGGGAAGAGAATGAAAAAAAGAAAATATTGGAAACAGGAATTCAGCATGGTCAATTGAAAATCAAGGTAAAAGTTTTTATTTCAGATGTAAATTATAACTATGTTTAATGACAATAGTTTCATTTCATTTGATTGTAATGCACAACTTATAAAACACTTCTTCAGTGAATATAATATGCAGTTAATGTACAATTTTATGTGTAAACAGTTCCACAAATCTATACATTAACTGCATGTCATTATTCATTGAATAAAGGTTTCAGAAATTGTATATTACAGTCGAGCCCCCAAAAGGTTCCTAATTCAAATCATATTTGAATTCTAAATTTACTTGAGACACCATGTATTTTACTTCAATTCCAGGCTTTCTACAGTATTGTAGAAAGTCTATATCAATGGTTGAGACTTGTAAAGATTACTGGTGTGTGTGTGTGTGTGTGTGTGTGTGTGTGTGTGTGTGCGCATGCACACATGCACATGTGAACCTTTGAGTCAGTCTTAACTCCTGGTGACTAGATGGGCAAATTCCTTCAGTCTTCTTTGTGCCTCTAAAATTTGTTTCAAAATGAGAACTGAAAAAGTCAATATTCTAGTAATATGTGTTTTAAAAAAAATTACTTACAGGAACTTCAACAAAAAACAGAACAGCAGGAGAAGATTCTAAAGCTAAAGGATGAAGAGATTGCTGCATTTAAGAAAAGAAACTCAACTGGGGCTCCCCAACAACTGCAGGCAATTGAAATTTTGTAATGCTAGTCTGCTAAAATGCTTTTGATAGCCTTGCTCTACTCTATCCATAACATACGGCCACTAAATGGCTTGAATCCTGCAACTCTTTATTTAGTATTTAATTTCTGTGGCTTATTCCTGGTTTTTCTCCTCTAAGAAGTATTTTAGACAGCTAAAATAATTTTTAAAAGATAAAAGATAAAAGGTTAACATTAGTAATGTAATAGAATGAGTTAACAATGAAAAGCTTGGCAAAATGTAGCAGCATTATAGCTTTTCTAAACTCTAAAGAAATTGTGGTTTTTTTAAATTGAAAGTGATACTCTGGAAAAAAATGCTTTACTGATAAATCAAAGAAAATTATGAATTGGGGTAGGGAGGCAAACAAGATCTGATTTTTACCAGTCATAAGGGATTGTGTGAATCATTTATCATACAATCAACCTTTCCTCATTTATAGGATTACAGATAATCTTGTTTTCCATGTTAGCCCTTGGCCTATATGATTTTCTAGAACTCTGTTATCTTATGGGGAAATTTTTATTTTTAACTAAGAACATAAAGTATTTCAAAAGTTTATTATGATTAGTGATAGTTTCATGCTGGCTCTAGTCCCTCAGCTGGAGGACAAGCTATGTAACTTCCCATTCCCTCTCTTCAGCACTCACCAATGCAACATTGGCTCTTGTTCCTTTTCTGCTCTCCCTCCCCTCCCAATGTTAAAAGATGGGCAGCATATACATTTTATGAATAAATGAATAATCTCATATCCCCCACATTTTTGCCTGCTTGGTGAAATATCCTTGTTGGGATTATACAATAGGTATATACATTTGCTGAGGTAATTGTCAACTATCCCTCAATAACCCTAATCCATCTGACAGCAAAACAAACGCAAGTCAGTTGAAATAAGCAAACATATTTGATATACAGAACTCAGAGGTGGGCAAAACTACAGCGAACCAAAGTACATTCTATTCTTCCAGTGCATCCTGATTCAGAACTCTTTGTTTTGTATTTGAGGTACAAGCATGATCCAGATAATTCAGCTGCCTCACAGTTCCAAAGAGAAAAAGGGAAGGAGGGGAAGGAAGAGACCTTGCAGGTTGCAGAATGCTCTTCCACACAGAAATTTGTTTTTATTTTTCTTAAACAAAGAGTGATAAAGCATGGAAAATAAAAAAAACAGCATCAAGGACAACCCCCACTTCCCCAGTAAAATCTACATCTATAGGAGTCATTATTTTAAAAAGGCAGTTTGGAAGTATACATTGATATACTTGTAATCTTTTAAAATGTACTTTAAAAAAAATCTATGTTCATATTTCTATTTATAAAAACACTGTGATGGGATCCTTAATGTGCATACTAATTTGAAAATCATAAGTATTAATTTATCTTGTATCTGTCAGATTTGATGTTATAACTTAAAAGTTTGTGTTTTTTAGTACATGGACAAATTATACTTTTATGAGGTATGCCATTTGACCTGACTAAATTAAATAGTCCTCTACTATTAATTTTGGAGTATGTCCCATTGAGTTGAACATGACTTACCTTTGGATTGATGTGCATAAAATTACACTATAAATGCCAATTGGAACTTTTAGCCCATTGGGGGGAAAAAAACATTATTTAAGCTGGTTTTAGTATTACAGCATTAAAATTAGTATAATTGAGGAGCTAAATTTGTGCATCATTTCTGCTCAATATAGAAATTAGAAGAGAAAAAGAAGTGCTTAGATGAAGAAATAGAAAAGATTTTGCACCAGCATCAAGAGTTAGCTGCTCTGGAGGAAGATTTAAAAAGAAGAGAAGCAATTATTTTAAAGAAGGAAACACTAATGCAGGAGAAAAGCCATTTGGAAATTAAAAAACTGAGATCCAGCCAGGTACTTTTTAATACTGCTGCATGCTAGGAATTGAAATTAGAAATTAGCACTCTGCACTTGCACTCAGCTTTCTGTCTTCAGTATAAAAATGTTTTAGCAATTTCAAATTAACTAATTTTTAATGAGAAATATGGGGTACATCTACTGCTGAATGCTTTGTAATGATTTTTTTTGGCTCTTTCTCCCATAATAAACAATACATTAACTATGTCAAACCAACATAGAAAATGTATTTTGTTACACTATAGTCTGTTATCAAAATAGGTGATACGGTTTTGCTAGAAGCAGCACTTGTGACATTCTTAGATTGACTTTGCATTTGCATGCCTACTCTTTTTCTGTTAATCAAAATAGCAAGTTAACTTCTTTCTGTGCTATGGTGCAAGTGGAGTTGTTATGAAATTGTTGTGGAATTGTTTTTGCAAGATGAATACTGACATTTTAGGGTAGTTAGAGTTCCATTAACAGAAACTCTTAACTTGTTCCATCTCCTTAGTTCTACACTTTCCCTCATGTCTGTAATGTTAAACTGCTAAGACATATGCTTCCCTTTCACTTACCTTTTAAATTGAGCAGAAACTCAGGCGTAACATGGTAGATGCTCTTACCAGATGGCCATTAAATTGAAATCACAAAAGAAGCTAAAGAAATTGTGGTGAAATCATTAGTCATCAAATCTGGCTAAACACTATCTGTATTTAGTCCACATTATAGTCATTGTACATACTAATAGTTCAGCCATGAGGAATGAAGATACCCTAAGATCTAAAGAGTATTCAGTGGAATATATTATATGAAGATTTATGCCAGGTTAAATAGAATAGTCTTTAAAGTGCCACATCTCTCTTCAAAATTATTGTTCTTAAAGGGATGATATCTTCATTTGTGATTTCATAGGCTCTCAATGAAGATAGTTTGAAATTATCTACCCGTCTAAGTATGTTAGATCAAGAACTTTGTGACAAAAATAAGCAGCTTCAAAGAACTGCCACAGATGAACAAGGGAAGATTTTTGAAGAGGTTCAGGCTTTGCAAAAAGAAAGGGATCAGCTGTTGAAAAGAAGAAACAGCGTGGATGAGAAATTAAAGAATGGCAGAGTGTTATCAGCAGAAGTAAGTTATTATCTATTTGATAACAATGAGCTGCTGTTAATAGAAAAATCAAAATGCAATCAAATTAATAGGCAAACTGTTAATATGTACAGCTGATAATTTTTTTTAAAAAAAGAATCATGATATTTTGTTAAAACCTTTCAGAAGAAATTGAACAGTGAAAAGTATCTCCAAGAAAGATGCCCTCCTCTCCCATTTTCCGTTTTTCTGTATTTTCTTCTCTCCTAAAAAAGCAGCAGCCCCTATATGTTAAGACAGGGGTGTCAAACTCAAGGCCCATGGGCCAAATCTGGCCCGTGATCGGATCCGGCCCATGGGGCTGTCCTGGTCTACCCAATGCAAAGAGGAAAGTTCAAACATGCGTGGCTTCAGCCCGGTCTACCCAATGTGAAGAGGAAACATGCCAACAGTTTGAGGAATGGTGTCAAGCTGGCCATGCCCACCCAGTTGGCCACACCCACCCAGTTGGTCACGTTTCCCCTCCCCGAGGTCAACCACAGCCCTGAAGAGGCCCTCAATGAATTTGAGTTTGACATCCTTGTGTTAAAAGATGTAGTTTTGTTAAACTAAGGAATGTGGTTTCATTAAACAAAAAAATAAGGGAAAGTTGTTAAAAATTGTGTGTTTATAGAATCAATTTGCATACATAATTCTATTATAGACAGAAAACATTTTTTTCAAGCACAACAGATGAGAAATTTGAGAATTGGCTACTTTTCTGTAGATGCTTATATACTGTTTCTGCTTTCGCTAAGAAGCATATGATAGGCTTCTGAAGAACCCATGAGTTCTTCAAAATAGTTTGAAAATCACTGTACTAACTGAATGCCATAATTAGACTTTTAACATTTCCTGCAACACATAATATATATCTATAGCACATATAAATATAACTATAATAATCACAGGAATTGTGAGATTAATTAATAGCCTTCAGATTTATTGTAATACATTTGACATTTCTGTTTTCTTTCTTCCTAGGAAGAACATGTTTTATTCCAGCTTGAGGAAGGTATTGAAACTTTGGAAGCGGCCATTGCTTATAAGAATGAAAGCATACAAAACCATCAAAACTCAATCAGAGTGTCATCACAGATCTTTACCCAAAATGAAGCCAGTGTGATGGGAAAGTTGGTATCATTGTCTGCTACTGAACTGCGCGCAATTCTTTTAAAGTACTTTAACAAGGTTTGTCAGAATAGTATTCAGCAATGGAAATTCTGCCTGTTCTTTTTATTGGTACAAAATGGCCACTGATGTAGCGGTACTTCTGATAATACATGAACAGAAGTTGTGTAAAAATAAAATTTGAATGAAAATATACCATACAAAAACTGATTATTTGTTTTTGGATTCTTACACTAGAGAGAGAGATGATTTTTCCCGATATTTACGTTCTATTATTCTCTTAATTTAAATTATAACACATATTTTAAAAGTAGCCATTCTATCTGAGTGCATGTATCACAAATTATCTAAAAATATTGTTTCTGGTAATTATGTGTTATAACTCTGACAGCAGTGAAACATATATTTCATAGCACATTCAAATTAGATGATTTTATTAACAATTCCTGTTCAAGCTTACAAATTTATTTATTTTTAATTATCCTAAACAAGAAATGCATTAAATTTATATTCAAACAGACTTGTACAAAGAAAATACTACTTATTTTTAGGTTGTTCGACTCCGTGAGAGTGAACGTAAATTGCAATTGCAGTCTGAAGAATTGAAAATGAGGGCAATGGAACAAGAAAATATAATAAGAGAACTTGAATTGGCACTTGAACATCTCATGCTACAATGTGACAGGCGCCTCACCCTTCAACAAAAAGAACATGAACAAAAGATTCAATTGATACTACTTCACTGTAAAGGTATTGGATCTTGTATAATTTTGAAAATTAATGTAAAATATACAATCTTTAAATATTGTTACAGCCACAGCTTACCCACAAATTACAATTCATAGTACTACAGACAAAGTTATGAGACACTTATTATATTAGCTCTTGCTTTAAAATGTCAGTTGTAATAAACTCAGGTAAACATGCTTTGATTATTCATATTCTTTTAACATTCCATACATAACTAGACACGTGAAGTCAAGAATGACTTTTTCTATGAAAAGAAATTCATTCATTGGATGTTAGAACTGATAATTTTTCAAAGCTCCACTTTCCCCAGTCTTATATCAAAGTTATCCAGTAGCAGGGTCAGAATTAAGACCACAGAGGGAAAGGGAAAATTTTTGAAGACTTCCTTTACCAGGGGAACAGGATCTTGGTATCTACAATTTAGAGAGGAACATACCAGTAGTCATTGACTAATAATCACAGTTGGGACCGGAGTTTTGATTGCTAGGCAATGCAGTCATCATGTGATTGACCCAATTTTATAACCATTTTACTTCAGTTATTAAGTGAATCATATGATTAAGTGCATGCAACTGTGCTGCGACTGTGAAACGAGGGTTACAGCTGCTCTGGGCCATCACTGTTGCAGCTGCCTCTGTTTTGAAGTACTATTTAAATCACCTGACTGAGCTGTTATTTCATGTTGCTACGCTGAACTACTGCGCCTGCGGGAAGAGCTAGGGACGGCTTTGGCTGCCCCCTGGCCGACATTTCTTTGTCTCTGCTAAGTGTCTGCTAAGACCGCAGAGAGGTCTTGAGAGGATTGAGCGCCCCACCTACAGGAGACCTCGGGAGATTGCCGGAATCGGTTCATCTGACTGCTGCTTGGATGCTGGGGCCTGGAGGAGTTGGCTAAGGAGATTCGACCTACTGAGACCACCATTGGTCGCTACAGGGGCGGCTACTGGAGGCCTGTCTTGGGGGGGGGGCGACCCCTTCGATTGCCCGACCCTTCAACCGCTGGTGTGCTGCTGCAGGGCCAGGCTAGGGACAGGGTTAGGGTTAGGGCTAGGTTTAGTTAGGGTTAGGTAGGGTCAGTGCAAGGGTTAGATGTAGGGCTAGGGTTAGATTTGACTAGGGTTAGGTTTAGCGTTAGGGTCAGGGTTAGGGTTAAGCTTAGGGTTTAGATTAGGGCCGATTAGGGTTAGGGTTAGCCTTAGGGGGAGGGGTGGGGTTGCTAGCCTGATGACCTGCCGGTTTGCTGCCACCATCTGAGAGCGTGGCAGCTCAGCTAAGAGTGGGGTTTACCCCCACCTCCGCTACTAATTCTAGTTCTTAGCATTGTGGGAGCAGTCCTCTGGCGTCCCCTGTTCCTGTTCCTGTAGGAGGCTGTGCTTTGATCCCAGCTAGTTGTGGCCCATGGCTGGCTCTGTGATATCTGCTGCCTACGGCCTGCTAGCCTTCCAACTATTCCTCCCCCCTATCATCGGGGAGTGAACTGGGATTTATGACTCTGTCGCCAGCCTTTGTGGGTTTCCTGTTTATGCCCTCCCCGGTCATCTTTCATCTCTACTCCGTCAGAGAGAGTGGGCAATGGACAAAGAGGACGTGGCTGAGGAGTTTACTCCCCCCTCCAGTTGTGGTCATTATACTGTTTTGCAGACTTTTGGACCCTACCCCTTGTGGGAGAAGCTCGGGACATCAACTCCTTCTTACACACTTGGACAATTCTGAGCTAATTTTTGCTTTGGTATTACCGTGCGGCTTTTAAATTTTTTGTATGGTGAGTGTTTGGTATGAGTGTGGTTGACTGAATGTACCCACTTTTTAACTATATTGTTGTTATTCTGCTTTTAATTTGTTTGTGGGGATTGTGTGATAGTATGGTTCTGTATGTCTGAGTAGGCTGGGACCATTGCAGGGCACCTCCTGCACTGAGTGCTTTGCAGAAGTGTCAGGGGGCCTATGCCTAATCCCAGCCTTAGAATGTCTGGTTCGAAGGGCCTG